AGTAAAAACTAAAAAGCACTATTATTTATTAGAATTTCGATGTGTGGCCGAGGGTAATAATATTTTCTCCTATAGCGAGGCAGAGACGTCCTTAGAATAATTTTAGGGGGTAAATACAAACTTTTAAACTCAGTCTTTGCATATTATTATGAAATGTATATTAATTTTTACATACGTTTTAAGAGAATTACCAGAATGTATTTATTGTCTCACAAACATATAAGATACAACACAACAAATTTGAATTCAGAAAATTTAACTGTGTGTTGTTGTAGTTTAAATGTTAGAATAATAGAGTGAATTCACCTATTATGAAACTTAAAGAACCATATCTGTGCTCCCCGGTTAATGGTGACAATATTACCATCACCATTTATTGATAACACCCCATGTGCCCTATACCTATGTATGCAATAGGTTTCATACGAATATGGCTTTAAGGAGTATTATTGTCACATTATTTCTAAGTAGTGAACTTAAGTGAATATTGAACAAGAGGAATAGCAACATAAACTCTTACTTTAAACATCGAACACTCGAGTTCCGGCTGTGACACGACGCGCTCGCCGTTCGGTTTGGCAGGGCCGTCGGATGGCGTCAATGCACCAAACAGATCAAAGCTGATTTTCGCGAAACGGATTTGCTCCAGCACGTAAGGGAGCGCCGACTCTTTGATGTTGCGTATTAGCTGTCTGGTGATTAGAAGCACGGCCAATTGCTGCATGTAAAATTTTAAATATTGAGCATAAGAGAGTAGGCTACAAACCATCCAGTAAAATAAATAATAAACTTATTTACCGTTCTAAGTCTTTCCTGATCTTGCAAATAGAAAGCGATGTAGAAGAGAGACAGGAACGAATTGACAAATTGAAACTAAAAACAATTTACACATTAATGGTACAGTATCATAATTGTATGTTGATTGAAAGTATATATTATTCTCAAATTAATATTTTATTAAAAATAGTAGTTCTCAAACGGGTACAAACCAGTGTAACTTTGATGATCAGCTGATTTTCATATTCAGTGTCCAGCCTATAGTTTTCTAAAATATGCAGCATGTGTACATAAAGAATGAACTCAAATTCAATAGAAACCAGTCTGTATTTTTTAATAACCTTTTTTGATAATGGTCCATTTGACAAGTTTAATTTTAATTATAATTTGTAAATTGTATTTACTGCATGCGTGAAAGTTTAGTACAAACATTTCAATACGACAGTCTTTTAACAATTTAAAAACAGCTTACCACAATCGTTCAGCCACACGGCAATAATATTGTAAATGTCATCAAGCACAGCAATGATAAGTGCTAACATAATTTTAGAAATGTAACTTAAATACGTTGGTAATTCGTTTGTTTCAATGTATGAGTCCCACCAGTCCTAAAATATTCAAACCATATGCGATTATAATTTTATAGTGATGTGATTGCCACTTGAGAATTTATTGAAGGCAAAAATAAATAAATTTACTTGTAATTTTATTTGTAATATTGTTAAAACAAAGACTACTGCCAAACATAGACTAATGATGGGTGCACTGACAAAATAACTGAACAGCCTTCGTTTCCAATTTGGATACCATATCTCGGCTTTGCCAGTTATTGGGCTAATTCGCGGATGACCCTAAAAATAAGTTCAATTAAAAAAAAAAAAAATGTAGATACAATATTATAGTTTATAAATCATTGTTAAACTTTACTTTAAATTCTAGGCGGGGTTGTAACAGAAATTGATGTCTTTGATCTAGTGTTGCCCATCGATAAGCTAATTCAGCACAGTAGCGTTTCCATGTTTCCAAGTATACTGTCAGCCAGAGAACATTCATAAATGCCAACACAACAAACCATACTCCTTCTGTCCATTGATCCAGTTGTCTTCCAAACCCAAACTATTTGATGAGATTCATCATTCAATTTTAACTATTTTTAGACATTACTTCCACTATAATAATATTATATACTTACCCAAAATGTAGAATAAGCAATAGCTGGATATATTAATGAACCAGTGTAGTGTCCAATCCATGCAAAGTACATGGCAATTTTGACACCAAAATAATCACAAACCTTATCCAAAGGTTGCAAGCTGAAAAAAGACTTCACCCAGATAATACGTAACCATTTTAATGTCTTATTTTCATGAACTGGGAATAAATGTTCAATTATTCCATTTGACATACATTCTGAAACTAAACCAAAATATATATTTACTGTAATTATATCATAATTAATAAAGTAATAAAATATATTTTATGTAAAACAAATAACAAATTCAGAATTACTTAATGGTTGGCTTTCAACTAGTTCTGTGAGCCAATCACAATTTTGTACCCTGTGTGTGTTTAAAACATATAAAATCAATGTTTGCCTTTCTTGCATAGTGAAAAAATTTGAATGATCCTCGATTCCTTCAAATATATTCATTTCAGAGAGTATAAATTCTCTAAGACCACCACCACCAATAACTTTTTTTGGTAAATGTACATCTTGAGCAGCTTTCATTAGACTTTTAATAATAATAATTGCATTAATGTTTCCATATTATAAGATCACTCATAAAAAATTCCTTACACATGAAAAGAAGCTGTCAAGTAAAAACAGTATGAGTCGGTTGATGAATGATACTGGACATTCACGGATAAACTGAAACCATTAGATTCATCTACTATTAGTGATTTTACCCATTCGATAGTCTTATAGTCTGTAGTTTTGGTAAATGTTAAAACCACATCACAAGCCTACAAATTAATAAAAAAATAATAAATAAAATTTTTAAAAATAATTTTTTAGGATACGTTAATATAGTATATTATACAAGGGGAAAAAATAATTTTTTTTTAGTATCAATTTTATATTAGGTATACAAAAACGATTATACATGATGGCTGCATCCAAGTTGAGTCCAGAATTTAAAATTGCTATACTAGTTGGGTCTGGGATTATCTTAGGTACTACACTAGTTGGGTCCATAATATTTTTTGGTGAGTACTACACTATACTAACATTTTTCTTCCCAGTTTAACACACTTAAGACTATCTATGATTTATTTAGACAAAAGGTATGGTTAAAAATATTAGAATTTTACAAATTTTGATATAATACAAAATATAAAAGTACAATACCAAGAAAAAATATTAAAAATCAAAATATATAAAAATACATATTATATAATATAATAAAAAATAAAATATTGTTTGAAAAAATTACTTTGTGCTGGCCAAAATGTATACGGCATTAATTCTTGGTATTGTACCTACCAATATTTGTATTATATCATGATTAATTTGTAAAATTCTAGTAACTTATATTTTTAATGACAAGAAACTTAAAAAAAACATTTTTAACTATACCTTTGATCTAAATAGACCATAGACAGCCCTAACTCCCAAGTCTGTTAAAATGGGAAGGAAAATGTTAGTATTCACCAAAATTATTAGGGACCCAACTAGTGTAGTACCTGTGATTAACTACGTTGGCACCCAACTCGGAACGCCGTACATGGTGGCTTATTTTATACATTATAATAGTTTATCATTAACATGTATAATATACTATAATGATTGATAACTCTAATTACTTTATTATAGACTAAATTGTATACTGTTTTCTCAATTAAAAAAAAAATTATTTTTAACATTATGCTGCTAATTTTTACATCAGCTTTGTATATAGTTAACTATGGATTAATTATACATTTTAACATTTATTTACTTTGGGTGGAATTGATTGGATCCATAAATGTCGTGGAGTCATTAAGTGACCAGCTCTTGGTATTTTCCTGCGTATTAATTTTGATGCTGAAAATCAAACAATTAATTTTAAAAAAAAACTTTTTTTAACAATTTTCATTTTGCATTGCAATTTGTTAAATATAATATGTACAGTGAAACCTTCCCTAATAGACACTTTCCAATATCGGACGTTTTCTTGGGAACCAACTACAAACTTTCTACAACCTTAACCTTTTGAATAGTCGACATTTCAGAATTCAGATTAACAAAAACAAATGATGGCGACGAAGTGTCCAGTATTCTGAAATGTACTTAAATTTCAAGTACCATGTAAATGTATTTAAATAACCATCATTCATGAAGTCATGAGTTATTATGTAAATATGTAAGTTAATAAAATGCTATTTTTTTTCAATCCTTTGTTAGTCATGCGGAATACAATTTTATTGTATTCTACTTAACTGTTTATATTTGTAAAAAATGTATAATATACAATATACAGTTGAGATAATTGTATTAAAATACCTACCTAATAATATTACATGTAACCAATGGCAACCCTATAAATGAACAAAAAAATACTATTTTTTTGCGAGTTGAAAAAAATTAATGTGTGTTATCTTTTAGCCATTGGCTATCTGAGTATAGGCATTGAAAAAATAAAGTATGAACACTAGTCTTACTGACCCAAATAACTTTTTATTGTCCAGAAGATTTTGAGTCTATTAATTTAAAATAAACCAATATGGGTTAAAAATATAGTTATCAAATATCAACATTTTAAGTTTGAATTATTATATTTTATTAAATTACCTGTGGCAACCACATATACCTATACAAAAATTCCATTGAAAAAGGTTTTAAAGTTTCCCCAAATTTTCCAATTTCCTAACAGCTTTTCCAATTTTTATTGGAACCTCATTTGAATGAAATCAACCATTTAACTTGATACATATTATATTTTAAAGTTTTAACCTCTTAACTATTCTTAAATCTTAATAATTCTCCGTATGCACCATGCGGCACCATAATACCATAATGTTAATATATTGTATAAGTATAATGTTAATTCATAGACATAATAATATATTAGTAATATAATATTTTTATGTCTATGTGTTAATTATAAATTATTATCATAGAGCAATGATAAATGGTCAGTGATGCCGTGAACTACTGCGAAGTCGCAAATGTTTATCAACCTGATATGCCCTAAAATCACGACATAGCGATAAGTGATAACAGTAAATATATAGATCTATGATAATATCTTAATAATTATCAATTTTTGCACAATATAAGGCAAATGGGAATGAGTCATGCGCATTAGTCAATAAAATATTAGTATGTTACTATAATTGCCGTTGCGAAGACTGAAGTTTCAAGTTCACAACACTATGTCACAATGACCTAGTACAACTAGTACAAGTGAAGCTATAATTTCCTATTTTAACATTACCAGAACCACTCGATTGGTTTATTTTCTATACTTGGTGAGTACTCTTATAATTTATTTTAAATAAATATAATTATATTTAGTATTTTTATGTTTGAGTCGGCCTCAAACGCAATCCTCTTAAACTTCAATAGCTTTCTTCATAATTAAAATTTTATATTTTACATAAATTTACCCTTAAAAAAATTAGTCTTTGGTCTTAGGTTAAAGAGGTATAAGAGGGACAATTTTTTAACAATTACAAACAAATAATACAAGTTTTGAAACACATCTAAGTATACTTATTCATAAAACTAAATTAAATTATAAAATCTTTGAAAATAAATAAAAGAATTAAGAGTTTGATAAACCAACATCAAGAGTAGGGCGGCGGTTCTACTACTTACATTTTATACGGGTGTGTACATTTATTTATAAGTAAGCGCTATAGGCTATGTAGGTAGTTCTCATTTTTATCCTTCCTCACTTCTTTCAACTTAATTTAATCATAATATCTTGATCCACTTTTTTCCTTTTACAATCAAAAAATGAATGTACCTTAATACCAGTATATCGCTGTTGAAGTTGGAACAAATCAACCAATTCAATTTCTAATCAAACTAGCCATTATACACATAACAATAATATTTTAACTTATTAAGGTTAAAAAATATATAATACGTGTTATAACAAATAAATGTTTAATTTTTTTATTGTTACCTATATTTTTAACAGCTGGGCATTAAAAATTTTGATAGGCTGCTCACTCTGACATAATATGCTAGAACCACCACTGTATTAGATTTGAGTATAGAAACAGAAATATTAGCTTTTTGTGTATATGAAAAATTAAAAAAAGAATGAAAAATATTAGTTGATTGTTGATTGTTGAATAAAATATGAACAATATTGTTGAGTTACACTACTCAAAATTATTTTTTGTTTTATCATATTTAAACATTTTTGAACTAGATTTGTCTCTACAGAATAAAAAAGATTTTGAAGTTCTTACAATACTCAATAACTTAGCATAATTAATTGGTAGATATAATTTTAACTAACTATAACCTAAAGAAGGCATTATAAAAAAACTGGAAGATTATGTAACTAACTCAGTTATTAATTTGAACTATTTAAGAATTATTTAATATGTATACCAATTTATAATATTTGGTTAATATTTCAGTAAATTTTAAATTTGGAATTCAGAATTATGGAGGAAGACAATTCTTTTTCTAGCAGATTCACAAAGAAATCTCAACAGATGCCCTTGTATCCAGTTGGTATGTAATATTAAAAAATGTGTTGTATATTTAAGTTTTAATATTGTATGCATTTATTTGAAATTCAGGAATATTGGGATTTGGATTAGTAGCAGCCTATGGACTTTATAGATTTAAATCTCGCAAGGGACGTACATCCTTGTATCTTATTCAATTACGGTTAGCAGCTCAAGGAACAGCTGTAGGAATCATTGGAATAGGTGTTCTATATAATATTTATACTGAAGCAACTTCAAAAAAAAGCTGAAACAATACTATGTATGATTTGTTAGTAAAATGTATTACCTATTAAATAGTATCACTAATAATAATGATTAAATTTTTTTTGTGTTAATGTATTGTTATGTAAGTATGTAACTAAAATATAGTGTACACTAATTTTATGTTTTTTTCATTTACTGAACAAAAATAGTATTGTTTATACCTTATTATTTATAAAGTTATAAGTACTATGATATTTTATTAATTATATGTAAACCTATAGGTGTTAAATGTTAATGTACTATTAGAAATATTGTTGGCTAATATTGTATACATAAATCAAATGAGGAATGCATATAAATTCTTAGAATTTGTGACTTGTGAGTATTGGATAACTTAAGATTGTTTATATTTTATATTTTATTTATTTAATTACAGTTACTTTTAATTGAAACAAAATGGTGCCTGCAATTTTAAATGGATCGACTTAACTGTTATCCTTTGCTAGTTTGGTCACTTTTTACAGTTGCTTCAGCAGTGGTAAAACCATTGGGTAGGGGCGGTTGGAAGTTACACTAAATGAAATGTTTTTTTTAAACTCACAATTTTCAAGGTATACAATACAATTCAACAGTTATCATCGTTGATGTGAATAACATTATTTGTCATACCAATATTGATCTTTAAGACCACAGAAGTAAAAGTGTAGATGGTGGTGGCAGCTTTGGAGTGTGGATACTATTAAAGGATTACTGACTGATAAAAAATTGAAAAAATTTTCCAATAGAAATATTGCAGTTATCTTTAAGGAGTCAGGTCCATATTAACATAGGTGATGCACATATATTCTGTGCTATGACTTTTAATTTTTAAGTAATATGAAAAATATTCTTGTGTATATCATCATTTTTGAATATTTGAAAATGGTTAATGAATATTAAGTCACAGTATGGGTTTTCTCTATAAATATAGTTTGTACTTTATATAACTTACTCCAAAAATAAATTGAAGTTGCGCTGCTGTACAGAAGCTATGAAACTTGTCAATAAAAGAGTTGGTTAAAATAATACTTTGGAGATGGGGGTTCTAATATCAATCTTATTAAAAAATGAAAGAATGTTTTCAAACATTTTAATTAATGTTCAAAGTCCAAGTATCATTACTGATAAGTTTTCAATTATTCAATTATTTCCTCTTCTCGGTTAATAAAAACAAAAAAATATAATAATGCAAGTAAAATAGATCTATTAAAAAAAATCTCAAATATTGATCTGCATTTCATTCAATAATATTGAAATTATTATATTGTGTAGTCAACTAGATGTTAAGTTAAGAGGTGACATTAGTATTAAATTAATCTTTTCTGGCAAAAAAACAGGCTTTAAGGTTATAATTGACAGTCAATTTTTAAGGTGAAAATATAACCAAAAAATGCTTTTATATAAGAAATTAAAATCCTAATTGCAAGCTTATCTTGCTAAGCTCATATTGATATAGGAATAGATTGTTGTAGTGTGTTATGTTGAGTTCTTGCATTTCCATGTTTTTTTTTACCGTGATCGTAGATTATTTTAAGTAAGGTATACATTTGTTTTGTAAAATGGTAATATCAAAAAAAAGTTTATTTGCATATTTTGAGATTTGTTAGTATATTAGTGTGTTTTTGTATTTTTAAAAATTTCATATTGCTGGTCAATGTCATTTTAAGATAACATTTGAGAAAAATGAACTACTTAGTTGTCTACAAATTTTTTTGTCATTTTATTTTGCCTAAAAATACTTATGCAGTTATGCCGAATGGCATTAAAAATCGGTAAATTTAATGGACCAATTATGGGCCACTATAACATTTTTAAGGGACCATTAGTTCATTATTGATTCATTAAATGTTGAAATTGTTCATGCAATGTTAGTATTTAAGTATTAAATAAAAGTCGTATGAACTATTTACATATCTGTGTGACTGTGTCAGATTAGATCAAGTTATAGTTAATTTCTAAAATATCAATAATTTTTTTTTTATATGTATTTTTTTAAAGAAAAACAATTTTAACTGCATATTTTAAGGATTTTTAGTGCAATAACTTCCAAACCCTTGTTATGATGTTAAATTTGTAAATATTAATAATTATAAAGTTTTTTAAAAATGTTCACTGATTTGATGCTGACCACTATTTTATAGCTGATAGTCTATTGATTTATCTAGTTAAGTTTTTCTAACCCAATGACTAATTATAAAGAAATGTTCAAATTTATGTTACCCATACCTGATGATTGACTGAATGTATCTAATATCAATGAAGAAGATTCTGCTAAATTTGAGTTATCTAGAGATGATTTTTCTAAAAAAAAATATAATTAGTGAAATTCTTGTTTTGAAAAACATATTTCAAATTTAACCTACCTGTCAACTCTGTAGCAGTTGATGGATCTGAAATATTAGAACATGTTAATGAATCATCTGGATCTGTTTCTGGTTGTACAGTCAAAAATTCAAGAGATTTCAGTTTGTTGTCTATCTTGTTTGATTCTATTAAAACAAAGCGAACAATTAGTTCAAGTAATAAACTTAGGTATATTATTTGAGCAACGTAAATTCATAAGTCAATATAATATTATATAACTAGTTTATTATTAATTAGTTTATGCTATTTTATACGACATTAATTAAACGATATACTTGAGTCTTGTACTGTTCTAATGAAAGTACTTACTGGTTCCAGGATTAGTAATTGGAATCTTTGAATTTTTCTTACAAATGTCATGTAAGCTAATAGTTTTTTTTGGCATTTTATTTACATTGCTCATTATTATTTCTTATGTTATTATATAACATTTAATTTTAAATAATTGTAGACATCTACAGAAGCTTACTAAAATAAAGTCGGTAAAATACTAATAAGAAAATTGAGTAACATCTACTAGAATAATGATAACTGATAACAATATTTGTAGTATCACGGAGGATAATAATATCAAGCTGTGGTTATTATCAATCATAGATAATATAAGAATAAATTATTATTATCTACTACTACGGCTCTAATATTGCCATCAATCAATCTCATACCAGAAATTCGTTATAGGCTAAACCAGACAACCGGTGTGAAAAAAAAGGTACTGGGGTGTTTGGACCATGTCATTTACATATTATCTTATTATCAAGGATACACATTCTGTGGATACTGGATACAACACAGGGCACAGAATGATCTGCGGGACTGTAGATATATATATTTACGTATATATTCTTTGGATAAACTAAATAATCATAGAACATAATAGAAGCGACAGCTATCAAAATACCATTATTCACTGTCTATTGTTTTACTAAATTATTATACTAGCTATATCTTAGTTCATGCTATCAATTACTATTGTATTGTATTTGTATAGGGTGCCGGGCATAGAAAATATATGGTGCCGGGTGCCCATGAACGGGATTGGAAAATGTATTATTTAATATTATTGTAAATTGTAATTACCTATTAATTATTACCTACATGGTATTATTTATGGCAGTTATCACAGTTCTCCCATAGAGTATAATATAATTATAAAATGAAGAACCTTGTATATTTTACATTTTTGACCCATCAAACATTTTTTAAACAATAATTATTAAAAAAAAACCACTATCGATTTTGAAAATAAGAAAAAACTATTTGCGTTCCGGTTTTGCGTAAAAATTCTCATTTTTTCTTAATTTTTTTTTGTATGATTAGTGCTTGGATTTTTTTACTTGAAACTTGAAGTAGCCAAGTATGTACCAATGTTATTATATTTTATAGGTACCTACACACAATGACATTTTCATATGAAAGTTTTTGGGGAAAATGTAATTAATTTAACCTACTACTTAGTACTTAGGTACTAGTAGGTACCATTGCAGTAATTTCTAATAGTAAAATAAATTATTTTAACCTTAATAATATCATAAAATATACTTAATAGTTAATAATATTATAGGCTCAAACTCTTCGCTCAGAATTGTTTTTCGTATTGGTAGGTACAATGGTTTTATATCATTGAATTAAAATTTAACACATCCATTTCAGTGACTTCTCTTGACACCTAATATACAGCAGAGCGTTGCTTACTTGACACTGTTTTTCATCTTGCTGTTTACACATTTAAATATTTTATAGACATTTTATTTACAATATTACATATTTACATCATTATCATATACCTAGGTAGCTACCTATCCAGAAATGAGAACGACATACATTCTATTTGCATCGTTATTGTGATGCAGTATTGTGTAGTACGTATAGTGTACCTGGTACAAGGTAGATGATTATAGTTAAATAATTACAATTACATATTTACATTAAAAAATACGTACTTAAAATTTGAATAAATTAAAAGCGCTGAAACTTTTCAAGATATAATGAGTGTTTAGGTACTGTTAAAGAAATCACACTATATTATGATAAAATAATTACCTAAATAAAGCATTAATAATGCTATGATTTGAGAAATAAGATTGGATATCTTATTGGTAAATAGTAAATACCTACAAATTGTTGATCGGTTAAATACTCATAATGGGCATTGTACCTATAGTTTATTTGCTCGGGTAAACTGTGGCTTATAGGAGGGGGGTAGGTACAGTATGTCAGTATACCTATGGCTTTTAATCACTTATCTAGTTTTTTCTTTAGAGTAGGTATACTCTCTAAAGTCTAAATAAACAATGACACTCGAGTATACAGCCGTATAGCCCCAAATATCTTTTAAAATTTTCGGTGATGAAAGCAAAATGTTCTGTAATTATTTGTAATTTTCATTTTTCAGATAGTATTTACTATTTAGTAGTATTTACTAACTAATTTAGTATATAAGCTGATTAGCTGATTATCAAAAAACATTTTGTGAACTAATTACCAGTTTAAGATAGTATATACCTATTGATATGTTGTGTATATTTTTAACTCGTTATGCATGTACATTTATAATATACGTATATAAATACTAGCTGATCCCGTGCACTTTGTTGCCCGTTAAAAATGCCATTTCTATATGAGACTCGATGGTGATAATGCGCCAGCAGTATATTATGCCTACCTGCTGTGTATTATTGAAATAATATGTTTTATATTTATTTTGATTGCAGACACGCCGATGAGCGGCTATAAGTGCAACCCAGCCACCTTGGTAGGCAATGTGAGGAAATGCTTATAGCTGATTCACCTGATAAACCACTGCAGTCTGCAGGCAACCAATAAACAAAAAAAATACCAATTTCTACTAAATATACTTATATTTCTCCTATAATCAATGGCAAACGTATATAAATAAATATTTTCTTCGTAAATCTTAAAATCCCTGTTTGGGCAACTTCCCGAATCGGACCTATCAGGTCCAATTGTGAATCTAAACCATCCAGGGCATCACTCAAAAGCATACGAAAAAATCCAGCCGTTTAGGAGGAGTTCAGTGACATACACACGTAC